GTATTTCCTCGGCTCAGAATTTGCGCGCACCTAATTCCGCGACTGTGAGCAGCAACGTATTTTGCATCTTGGCGTACACAAGTCAATCGGCGTCGGCCAAATTTCGCTGCACGGTGCGGACGAACACTGGCAGGCTAATTCTTAACTTGAGCTAAGCGGCGGACAGGTTTCTTCGTGCAGAGGTGCGCAAATAAGGCGAACGTGGCGCTTCGAGAAAAGCGGGCGGGTCCTCGACATTTCATCTGTAATGAAGAAGTAGAAGTTATTTTTAGGCGTATAGTGTTAAGGTACCTTGAGGTAAAAGTCTTAATGGCACGCAAGCTCAGACGAGCCTCTCAAAGCCCACTATCCTTCGCCACTCGTGTCGCACGTCTCGGATTCTTGCTGCCATTCCCTTCATTTAGCGCCGCTGACATCGTGTCGCCAAATGGCATGTGTTGCTAATACTAACCCAATAATACAATCACAAATAGCACATTATGCTTAAAATCTATGTTCTATTTTGTACGATTTAATCTGTTGCAGTGTCAAAATATGTAAATTGAATGTGAGGCCCCTCACGCTTTGCAAATTCGCAATCTTTTTTACGCACACGGTGTTCCTATCCATGAAATACACCAACGCATGTACATAGTACCCTATAACTCGTAAAACTGACTGAGCAGTGTATAATAAAATGGACTGACAATTTTATCTGGCGCGGATTGTACGACGGAGCGTAATATTAAATTCATACGCACAGCTGCCATTTCACCGAGAACACATTAATCTGACCTCGATCGGGTATTTGAGCGGCTATCGTTTCCATCAAATTACGAGATGTAGAATTAAAGTTTAAATTTAATGCTTGGCAATGTGAGCTCTTCAATAACGCGCCGCGGTAGCTGCAGCATATCCTTTTTCCCATTTCAATTCTGATGAGCATGCTTAGCTCTCCTACTTACACTACAATCACCACCATTTTACATCCAATTGAATTTTTTTCCTAGTCACTCTTCAACTTCGCTGCAATCTATAATTCACAATTGTCTTCGACCCCATTAAAGACGTTGTAGAGAAGACAGGTTTACGCTATAATATGTAAAGGAAGCATAAACTCTTTTACCAGACAATTAGTTATTACCTAAAGATTAAGGAGCTCCGATATAAATATAAATTATAAATACAAGAATATGGACTTTGATTGCCTCAGTAAGGAGGTGTGTGTGGCTGAGAGCTTAAACTTAGCGATTGTTTTCGTAGGACTCAGTGTTTATTTTATTGTAATTATACCTTAACGTATTAAAATGCGCAATGTTCACGGCCACTTTATAGACCCTGCGTATCAGCAGCATAAAGAGATTTTTCATTTATCATCTTATCCTCTCAGTTGCCGTGCGTTTAATCTCTTCTACAATTTCTTACCACTTTATAATTCCGTACCAACCTGACTTTCCGCTGTATTTGGCACTAATAGCATGTATTCTACTTTTTAGCGCACACTTTCGGATTCATAGTCTTCACGTTATACTTTAAAGATGTACACAAGACGCGTTAATATGAACGATACGATTGTTGAGCAATGCAAGAATTGATTTTGTCGATTACAAACTGGTTCTGAGATAGCATTGACCGAGAAATCTTTTAATTCGGATAAGATTTAGAATTTATATCCCTTATTGGTGAAAACCGCCGGCGAAGGAAAACAAGGTAGTTTCGATTGAGTAAACCCATGCTTCCACGTATCATATGATTGCAATTTCACTTTGGTGAAGTTGAGTCATTTAGAGTGTGACAAAGTTTACACCTCAAGCCTGTTGCTAACACCAACTCACTGTCATAAACTGAATTTAGCTGGATAAGAGAAGTGTACAGATTGCTACTGATCCAAGCTGCGGAAAAAGTAGTTTGTGTGAAACTCTGTAATGTAAGGGTAAAATTCACGGCGTATGTCTGTATGCCAAAAAATAGGCGCTTATAAGCAGGATGGTTAGCAGTAGTCTGAAGGTACATGTAGACTACTCTATATCATATAGAATAACTGATATAGCGCGTAACGTCAGTATAAAAAGAAAGGTTATCCGCATCAACACAACTCCTCACATTCACGATCCCCCACACTAACGATACCTTGATGGGTCAATAAAATGAAATGCTACGAACATTTGGTTCACTGATTGGTTGGATAAAAAATAAAAACGGACCATTTCCAATTATGTGGAGAAGCACGAATGAAGGATGAAGGAAGTGTGGATCGCGCTATCCGCCTTAAGTACAACAATCAGTTTGATTGGTGGAGCGCGTACGGAGATGGGCCCGTTGGACAAAATGGTCAAGTCAAACGGCTGAGTCTATAGTTAACGGTCACAAAGGGGTAAAGGTCAAGCGGAGTGTGTCATGATGATCGAGGAAGATTACGTACCCGCCTTGGATCGCATGCCGAGATCCGGTGCTCCGTGATACGGTACTCCGCGATCCGGAACTCCGCGATCCGGCACTACGCGATTCGGTACTCCGCGATCCAATACTCTGCGATCCGGTACCCTACGATCCGGCACCCTACGATCCAGTTCTGTACGATCCGGTATGAGGCGATCCACTATGGATTATCTGCTGTGGACCACAGTATGTAAGAGGTGAAGGACATAGACAGCCGACCTAGCGGACAGATAGGCACAGTCATAAGGTTTAGGTTTGGTTGGATGACATTAAACAGATTGAAATTTGCTACGAAAGACACGCGTCGACTTCTCCCGGGTAGGACTTTGGCCTCCCGTTGAATAGAGAGTCACCCACGTCTCAAGTGAATTTCTCCCTCGGATTGTTTGGCCAGGCGAAAGGTCAATTCTCACCCCCCTCAACTACGATAGGACGCAGTGAACCTTACAGTTCGGATTCAAGATCGCGAGACGGCTCAAGTGGTCAAAAGGCACGCGTACAAGGCATCACCCCTGGCAAAGGCGACTCTGGGAGAGCGCTCAAGTTACGAGTGATCAAGTGAAGAATTTCCGCGCAATCCGCACCTACGTTGACCGGGTGAAGAATTTCCACCCGATCAACCCTATCCCTAAGACGGTCAAGTTCAGCTTCAGCTCAAGTCTACCAAGAAGAGCGCAAGTCGCCCCACCTACGGGTACATAAGGTGAGTAAGAACATGCAGTACACGGAATCGGGGTACCCCCTCCGTTAGTCGGTCATCCGGGCGCCAGTGGAGAGTCGGGATCGTCTCAGGAAATGAGCGATCGCCACTCCACCACAATAACAGCAGGAACATATAAATAATAACCTAGCTTAATGTTCGTACATGCCACGCAGTTGTCAATGTAGATGTAGAAGTATTTAGCAATGTAGAATTAGCAGGTGTGTAATCAACTTTTAGAGCGCCTGCTGCACCAACGACTTCATTTGTTATTAATAATGGGTGCCTTTTCAATGTGATAGTTTGAGAGGGAGAGGAAAGGTCTATCATCTACTTATCGCTACTAATTTCTCTAGTAGATATCAGCTCGTTATGTGCTATTATTAAATATTCTTACTTCTCGCTTTCTCCGTTCTCTTCTTTCAGAAAAATAATTTAGCGACAGGGCACTCCCACATATGCCCGTGTATCAGTCCGTTGACCAAGGTCAAAGCTCTCTTTGAGGGACCTAGCTCAAGATTATAGAAATGGCCGGCGATTTAGTTTACCATTTAACAATATTTGCTGACCAATCACAGGCTAGTAAATGTGAGGGGTGGATATTTTTGGGTGGAGGTGGATGCTTAGCGCTTCCCTATAAGAACCTTATACAACTATCTTTTTTTGTGGACATCATGCCGGCGTATATCTGCTAATAATTCTGTCGATAGCCTATCATTTGTACAAACTCGTACTATAGTATTTCAGCCGACCGAACAAAAAATGCATTGTCCAGGAAACATGTCTTTCAAAATTTGAGCGTGCAGCATCAGCTTTGCATTTTTATTCAGCAAAGATGAGGCTACTTCAGGATAGGTGTCTCACGATGTACATAGACTTAATAGTGAAACAACCGGGCACGTCCGGATTCGACTTCCAGCAGCTCGATGATTTATAGTACGAGAAGATCGTAGCTTACTTATAAATTGATGTTTAACGGATCAAGTACGACATGCAGAAAATATGTTAATTACAATCACTAAATATAACGAGCTATTTTATAACGAGAAACCGAATGTAAATGTAAACAAACTTACAAACCGAGGAGCAAATTGATCTATATGGAATTGACATCCACGAACGAGGTACGATGCTATTGCCCGTACTTCTGGACGGCGCCTTTCCTTGTCCTTCTTAGTGTAGTTCTGAATTTATCTGTTCTCCTTTGGGTTTTATGTAGCTAATAGGTAAAACAAAGACACTGAACACATTCTTGAAGTGTAACGTTGGGTAGCTAATGCGTACAAATATGGAACAAATAATCCGCAGTAAATCTGAAGTAATATAGCTGCAAAATCATTTTTAAGCATCACAATAAAGATATTGGAAAGTACGGCAAGACGCGCGTCGAATATTTTCTGGTCTTCGGTAAGCATAACTTTATTAATAGGATGAGACGGAGCAGGCGATGTTTACAATGTAATGGCACGCTCCGTTCCATTATGTCTGCCCCGGTTCGATCCCGGTCCGATTACGTAGATCTACTATTCCGAATTTGCGTCGATTTAGTCACCACCCATGTGCGTCTTAGACACATAAATTTTAAAGGTGTCCCTTAAAACAAAATGCGTACATCTTGAAACCTGTGTTCTGTGAACACTGACAAGGCAAATCCGTTTCGCGGCATATGACGGCGTGTTTGCAGTCGACAAGAAATAGCAGCTTAACATACTGCAGCTATCGCCTTTCAGTCGTCAACGACGTCCAAAGACTTCATCAAGAGGTATAACAGCTGCTTCGGTGTACATGAAGCTCCCAATAGTCAGCAATCAAGACAGAAGTACAAGAGAATGCGCCGTCCGGGAATCGAACCCGGGGCATCTCGTTGGCAACGAGATATTTTTTACCATTGAACCACCGGCGCCTACTCACACCATTCTACCCCCTCTGTCAAAAATCAACACAAACAAACAACAGCCTCCTCACGGCATGCATCGTACCGGCAACTGTCACTCACAATATCCCGACGAGTCGAATCCGTTTCGCGGCAAAATGAAGACGTGTTTGCAGTCGACAAGGAATATCAGCTTTACATACCGCAGCTATCGCCTGTCAGTCGTCAGCGACGTCTAAAGACTCCATCAAGTGGTATAACTGCTGCTGCGGTGTACAGGAAGCTCTCAATAGTCAGCAATCAAGACAGCAGTAAAAGGGAATGCGCCGTCCGGGAATCGAACCCCCGGGGCATCTCGTTGGCAACGAGATGTTTTTACCATTGAACCAACGGCGCCTGCTCACATCGTTCTACCCCCTCCGTCAAACAGATCAACACAAACAAACAACAGCCTCCTCACGGCATGCATCGTACCGGCAACTGTCACTCACAACATCCCGACGAGTCGAATCCGTTTCGCGGCAAAATGAAGACGTGTTTGCAGTCGACAAGGAATATCAGCTTAACATACCACAGCTATCGCCTGTCAGTCGTCAACGACGTCTAAAGACTCCATCAAGTGGTATAACAGCTGCTGCGGTGTACATGAAGCTTTCAATAGTCAGCAATCAAGACAGCAGTAAAGAGAATGCGCCGTCCGGGAATCGAACCCCCGGGGCATCTCGTTGGCAACGAGATATTTTACCACGAAACCAACGGCGCCTGCTCGCGTCATTCTGCCCCCTCTGTCAAAAATCAACCATACAAACAACAGCCTCCTCACGGCATGCATCGTACCGGCAACTGTCACTCACAACATCCTGACGAGCCGAATCCGTTTCGCGGCAAAATGAAGACGTGTTTGCAGTCGACAAGGAATAGCAGCTTAACATAGCGCAGCTATCGCCTGTCAGTCGTCAACGACGTCTAAAGACTCCATCAAGTGGCATAACAGCTGCTGCGGTGTACATGAAGCTCTCTGTAGTCAGCAATCAAGACAGCAGTAATAGGGAATGCGCCGTCCGGGAATCGAACCCGGGGCATCTCGTTGGCAACGAGATATTTTACCACGAAACCAACGGCGCCTGCTCACGTCATTCTGCCCCCTCTGTCAAAAATGAACACAAACAAACAGCAGCCTCCTCACGGCATGCATCTTACCGGCAACTGTCACTCACAACATCCCGACGAGTCGAATCCGTTTTGCGGCAAAATGAAGACGTGTTTGCAGTCGACAAGGAATAGCAGCTTAACATACCGCAGCTATCGCCTGTCAGTCGTCAGCGACGTTTAAAGACTCCATCAAGTGGTATAACAGCTGCTGCGGTGTTCATGAAGCTTTCAACAGTCAGCAATCAAGACAGCAGTAAAAGAGAATGCGCCGTCCGGGAATCGAACCCGGGGCATCTCGTTGGCAACGAGATAGTTTACCACGAAACCAACGGCGCCTGCTCACGTCATTCTGCCCCCTCTGTCAAACAGATCAGCACAAACAAACAACAGCCTCCTCACGGCATACACCGTACCGGCAACTGTCACTCACAATATCCCGACGAGTCGAATCCGTTTCGCGGCAAATGAACACGTGCTTGAAGTCGACAAGGAATAGCAGCTTTACATACCGCAGCTATCGCCTGTCAGTCGTCAGCGACGTTTAAAGACTAAGTACGTAAGTGGCAACGTCAGGTAAAAAAGAATACTTAGGCTGCGACTTGGGCTGCTGGCTTGGGCTGCGACTTGGGCTGCTGGCTTCGGGCCAGCAGATGCCGTTGGAACGCAGTATAGAGCACGAGAGGTACGAGTGCCCAGATCTACCAGATAGTGATGGTTTTCAAATCAAGTCGTTTATTGCCAGCCAACGACGACGACGACGACTTGAGGGGATTTTGTAGGTGTTAGTCAAAACGATGTGCGACTCAAAGTGGACAAGATCCCCACCCAGGGGTGGCTACACTCGGCACACTCTCCGTCTGTTTCTGCCGTAGCTCCTGGTACCGTCGACACTCAATGCGGTACAGCAGGAGCTTACGGCTCGGTCAAAGTACGACTGCACGCCTTCCATGACGCCCGTCACGTCCTTGAACTCCTTTCGTTGCCCCGCCTCTCCAGCATGCACCTTGCTCTGCTTCACGTCCAAGTGCGTCTTGATTATCGAAGATCCCCATCCATTCACCACCATACAACAACACAGACAAGCACAACCTCGTCAATCCCCACCACCACGAACCCCCCTCTTTCTCTCTCTTGCTCCCTCCTCTCGCTTCCTCTCCCCCACCTGTTGCATGTTGGGTTTCCTCGGCAACGGCACAAGTTGATGCAGAGCTTGCGTGGCGGCTTACTTTCTACTATATCCTCTAGCTCGCTTGTGCCTCACTTGCGCTGCCCCTTTCAGATGTCCTACATTGGCAGTGTAAAGCTTTGCAATAGATTGAGATGGTACGGCAAAGAGTTCCATGCGTTTTGCATGGTAAAACGCCTGAGAGCGCGCCAACTCAGCGACAATTTTCTACAGCAAACAAAGCCCATAAGTCCACATTCTCGTCAATCTACCCCGCCAAACTCCACTACCGTCGAACTGCGCCTTCATTTTCTCGATCATGTACCGTTCGAAGTTCGGTCCATGTGGATATCCAGCAACGCATTGACGTTCTCAGCGCGAGGTTTCTGATTGACAGCATCCGGATCTTTTTCTCTCTTCTCCTTGGCAGCACTCCGTCCCTGCAGTACACAGAAACAATCAGGCAAATAAGCAGACGAACAGATCGGCCAATAGAATTCACTCACGGATCTTCTTTACAGAGATGACTTCCAACTCGCCGACACGTACCTTCATCCTGCTTGTCCCCTTCATTCAACGACCAAACCTTGTGGTAGAACGCACGGACATCTGGATGCAAGTAAAGCAACTTTGCGCACGTGGCGTTTCCCATTCAGATACTCCTGTGTCGCTCAAGGATCCATTTCACGAGCAGCCACGAGCCAACACAAGGTCACCGCCACACTGCGTCCCGTGCCTCCTTTGCAGTGAACGTACGTCCTGACTCCCGTTGTTTTTGCATCTGGATAAACGCAACGGCTGCTGTTAATGCCTCAAGTGACGGCTAAAAGTGGTCAACTGTCGGCAGTTGAAGCTGCTGGATGTGGTGTCTCTTGTACTGGTTCGTAGGGCATGCGTACTCATCACATCGATTGACAACTGCACCAACCCCACAAGCTACTGGAGCGTCAACATGAGGCACAAAAGCTGTGGACGCTGCTCCCAGCAGGACATGCGAGTCCACCGGCGTCCAGTAGTTCTGACGTTGCGATAAGTACGTGAGTGGCAACGTCAGGTAAAAGAATACTTTGGCTGCGACTTGGGCTGCTGGCTTGGGCTGCGACTTGGGCTGCTGGCTTGGGCAGAAGACGCCGTTGGAACGCAGCATAGAGCACGAGAGGTACGAGTGCCCAGATCTGCCAGATAGTGATGGTTTTCAAATCAAGTCGTTTATTGCCAGCCAACGACGACGACGACGACTTGAGGGGATTTTGTAGGTGTAGTCAAAACGATGTGCGACTCAAAGTGGACAAGATCCCCACCCAGGGGTGGCTACAAGCGGTACACTCTCCGTCTGTTTCTGCCGTAGCTCCTGGTACCGTCGACACTCAATGTGGTACAGCAGGAGCTTACGGCTCGGTCAAAGTACGACTGCACGCCTTCCATGACGCCCGTCACGTCCTTGAACTCCCTTTCTTTGCCCCGCCTATCCATCATGCACCTTGCTCTGCTTCACGTCCAAGTACGTCTTGATTATCGAAGATCCCCATCCATTCACCACCATACAACAACACAGACAAGCACAACCTCGTCAATCCCCACCACCACGAACCCCCTCTTTCTCTCTCTTGCTCCCTCCTCTCGCTCTCTCTCCCCACCTGTTGCATGTCGGGTTTCCTCGGCAACGGCACAAGTTGATGCAGAGCTTGCGTGGCGGCTTACTTTCTACTATATCCTCTAGCTCGCTTGTGCCTCACTTGCGCTGCCCCTTTCAGATGTCCTACATTGGCAGTGTAAAGCTTTGCAATAGATTGAGATGGTACGGCAAAGAGTTCCATGCCTTTTGCATGGTAAAACGCCTGAGAGCGCGCCAACTCAGCGACAATTTTCTACAGCAAACAAAGCCCATAAGTCCACATTCTCGTCAATCTACCCCGCCAAACTCCACTACCGTCGAACTGCGCCTTCATTTTTCTCGATCATGTACCGTTCGAAGTTCGGTCCATGTGGATATCCAGCAACGCATTGACGTTCTCAACGCGAGGTTTCTGATTGACAGCATCCGGAGCTTTTTTCTCTTCTCCTTGGCAGCACTCCGTCCCTGCAGTACACAGAAACAATCAGGCAAATAAGCAGACGAACAGATCGGCCAATAGAATTCACTCACGGATCTTCTTTATAGAGATGACTTCCAACTCGCCGACACGTACCTTCATCCTGCTTGTCCCCTTCATTCAACGACCAAACCTTGTGGTAGAACGCACGGACATCTGGATGCAAGTAAAGCAACTTTGCGCACGTGGCGTTTCCCATTCAGATACTCCTGTGTCGCTCAAGGATCCATTTCACGAGCAGCCACGAGCCAACACAAGGTCACCGCCACACTGCGTCCCGTGCCTCCTTTGCAGTGAACGTACGTCCTGACTCCCGTTGTTTCTGCATCTGGATGAACGCAACGGCTGCTGTTAATGCCTCAAGTGACGGCCAAAAGTGGTCAACCGTCGGCAGTTGAAGCTGCTGGATGTGGTGTCTCTTGTACTGGTTCGTAGGGCATGCGTACTCATCACATCGATTGACAACTGCACCAACCCCACAAGCTACTGGAGCGTCAACATGAGGCACAAAAGCTGTGGACGCTGCTCCCAGCAGGACATGCGAGTCCACCGGCGTCCAGTAGTTCTGACGTTGCGATAAGTACGTAAGTGGCAACGTCAGGTAAAAGAATACTTTGGCTGCGACTTGGGCTGCTGGCTTGGGCTGCGACTTGGGCTGCTGGCTTGGGCAGAAGACGCCGTTGGAACGCAGCATAGAGCACGAGAGGTACGAGTGCCCAGATCTGCCAGATAGTGATGGTTTTCAAATCAAGTCGTTTAATGCCAGCCAACGACGACGACGACGACTTGAGGGGATTTTGTAGGTGTAGTCAAAACGATGTGCGACTCAAAGTGGACAAGATCCCCACCCAGGGGTGGCTACAAGCGGTACACTCTCCGTCTGTTTCTGCCGTAGCTCCTGGTACCGTCGACACTCAATGTGGTACAGCAGGAGCTTACGGCTCGGTCAAAGTACGACTGCACGCCTTCCATGACGCCCGTCACGTCCTTGAACTCCCTTTCTTTGCCCCGCCTATCCAGCATGCACCTTGCTCTGCTTCACGTCCAAGTACGTCTTGATTATCGAAGATCCCCATCCATTCACCACCATACAACAACACAGACAAGCACAACCTCGTCAATCCCCACCACCACGAACCCCCTCTTTCTCTCTCTTGCTCCCTCCTCTCGCTCCCTCTCCCCACCTGTTGCATGTCGGGTTTCCTCGGCAACGGCACAAGTTGATGCAGAGCTTGCGTGGCGGCTTACTTTCTACTATATCCTCTAGCTCGCTTGTGCCTCACTTGCGCTGCCCCTTTCAGATGTCCTACATTGGCAGTGTAAAGCTTTGCAATAGATTGAGATGGTACGGCAAAGAGTTCCATGCCTTTTGCATGGTAAAACGCCTGAGAGCGCGCCAACTCAGCGACAATTTTCTACAGCAAACAAAGCCCATAAGTCCACATTCTCGTCAATCTACCCCGCCAAACTCCACTACCGTCGAACTGCGCCTTCATTTTTCTCGATCATGTACCGTTCGAAGTTCGGTCCATGTGGATATCCAGCAACGCATTGACGTTCTCAACGCGAGGTTTCTGATTGACAGCATCCGGAGCTTTTTTCTCTTCTCCTTGGCAGCACTCCGTCCCTGCAGTACACAGAAACAATCAGGCAAATAAGCAGACGAACAGATCGGCCAAAAGAATTCACTCACGGATCTTCTTTATAGAGATGACTTCCAACTCGCCGACACGTACCTTCATCCTGCTTGTCCCCTTCATTCAACGACCAAACCTTGTGGTAGAACGCACGGACATCTGGATGCAAGTAAAGCAACTTTGCGCACGTGGCGTTTCCCATTCAGATACTCCTGTGTCGCTCAAGGATCCATTTCACGAGCAGCCACGAGCCAACACAAGGTCACCGCCACACTGCGTCCCGTGCCTCCTTTGCAGTGAACGTACGTCCTGACTCCCGTTGTTTCTGCATCTGGATGAACGCAACGGCTGCTGTTAATGCCTCAAGTGACGGCCAAAAGTGGTCAACTGTCGGCAGTTGAAGCTGCTGGATGTGGTGTGTAACGGGGCACCCTGAAGCTTGTACTGGTGACAGTACAACCTACTTTTTTTGATGACAGAATAAGGCGGTGCCTCGGAACTTCACGTTCACTCGTACGTGCAGAGGAAGACGGTAAGAAGAAGCGAGTACTTGGTTTAAGTAGAACTGTATTTATAATAGTTAATGTCTGTTAATAAACCACTGTTTGTCCTCATCTAACTATGACTAAATACAAATGTGTACATCAACTATCTGCTCACCACTCATTGCGTGCGTCTGTCGTGGCGCGTCTTCGTTGGTTGATATAATGGCCTATATCAACCAATTAGGAACTACTCGTAAGTGCTGCAGAATATTTGTCCTTATGACAATATTCTGAGAAGATAACTCTTAAAGTTATATTCTATTAGCAATTTCTTATAAATTGTTATGTAACGATTCACCCCGTTACATCACCCCTCCCTTAACCATCAGTCACTTTAGTGACTGATTGACGAAATGGATACTCGTCCCAAATCAGATGGGACAGGGTTTGCAATTGTTGGTCCGAGTCCACTTTCCAACATCTCATCGCATGGTTAACAAGCCCATGCGATGCGCGAGCAAGGCCGCCGAGCGCGTCCGCACGTCTCTGTGCGGACGCCGAAGCAGAAACCACAGCAACTGATGTCTCATCGGTTGCTGAAGCGACTCAGCCTGTGTCACTTGGTGATGCAGCCGCTGGTCATGAAGACACTCATGTCTTCACAGAGTATGAGCTCAGTGTCTCATACTTTCCTGATACGGAAGATGGATCTGCATCGACGGCGATCGAATCCAAACCGCCTGCCAAGCGTGGCATGGATGATGCTGTGCGTCGTAGCATCGTTGGTTCATCTGACGAATCAGATGAACCATCACCGAAGCGAAGGCGCTTGAGATCGCAAGACTCGGGCGCTCATAGTGGTGTCGGTTCTCCTATTGACACCACTTCGCAGCGAGGTACCAGTCCTTCTGTCGGCACATCGCAGGAAGAGCGGGACCGCAGTGTGTTGCGTCTCGCTCCCGAGAAGAAGGCATGGATGCCTCCAAAATTAGTCATGGATCACTTGTCGGCGACGACGAGTGATCGCTATCGAACACGGTTGTTCGATTCGTCAAGGATCCATCACCTTGACCCCAGTGCGAAAAACTATCGCGCTGAGAATGAGTTCTTCATTGATGCTTTCTTTAAACACCGATGGTACAGTGGGAATCACAAACGTAATGGTCACTCACTACTCCAAGCGTGGAACGCCTATATCCACAACCTTTAGGATGTAGGTCGTGACGTTTGGAACGACAAACTTATCAAAGCTCGTGATAAGTTTGAGAAAAGAACCCCGACAGGTGCACGCTGTAAGCTGCATCGTCTGTCAAAAGAGGGTGGTTTACCTTGTCTTTCCAGGGGAGACCCGTGCCCATGTTGTGTGAACAACTCTGCGCGAGCACCTAAGGAGGCTTTCCTCCCTAATAGCCCGTGGTGGCGCGTACGCATCTCTAGTGAGATGTACGAAGGGATTGACAACCTTAAATCCCTTTACGACCGTGCCGGGAAGACTTTCTCCGGCGGTACTTCTGCGGCACAGGATGTGCCGCGTCGTACTGCTCAACCAGACCCAGTACATCAACCATCAGTTGGGAGCGGGGCTCCTAAGTATCCCAGGACGGGGGATAGCCGCGCCACCGGACGTGGTACTCGTCCGACGTCCGTTCACGTTGCGTTGGTTCAACAGCTGCTCAACCAGATAGCGCTGGCCACCGCAAGAGTCCTCTAATGGAGGTGGAGGAGGAGGGAAAACGCTCTCCAAACTATCGTAAGGAAGAGTGTGCCCCCTAGAGCTTCTTTGATCGCGTAAAGCAAGCGTTACGCGGCGATCTCGAACATGAGCAGGACAGGCGTCTCCAACTGGCGGATACTGTCTTGAAGCATCGAGTCGAGTATGCTTTTGCTCAGCTTGAGAACGAGAGAGCTTTGACATCTCTTCGTGACGAGCTAAGGGTAGCTCGTGGAATTGTTGATCGGTCTCGGGATGAGATAAATGCTCTTCCGACCCTTGTCGATGCCCATCATCGGGAGCATAAGGCTCTCTGCGAGATGCTTGAGCGCAAGGGCGTTCTTCATAGGAAGAAGCAGCGTACTGATGGTACGGCTTCAGCAGACTAACGTAAAACGTGGGATGCGTTCGCATCTTACGTGGCAACTCGATCGTGTATGCATTGCCTAGGCGGTGCAATACACGAAATGGGCCGATGTACTTGGGTAGTAGTTTACTGCTACCCAAGTTAGTCACTACATGCTTTGGCAGATTAAGCGTAGACAGTAGGACTAAGTCACCTTTACTAAACAAAATAGTGCTTTTTCTTCCATTCTTGTCAGCGTTTTGCTTTTGCTTATCCACCGCTCCGGCGATGGAGTATTGCACAAAACGGACTACCGTTTCACGAGCCAGTATGAACTCATCTGATGACTCGTTAGCTTCAGTGCGCTGTGAGTGCACTGCAGCAACATCAACCTTTTCTTCAGTGAGGGCTTCCGCACTCTCAATGGCATCATCTTCTCCGATATCGATGTTATCGATATCGGCATCAAACGCAATGACCTCTTCGTCAGAGCGTGATGAGCGTGAACCAAATCGGTTTTTGCTCGCGCGAGTCCCTCCCCCTCTCAAACCAGAGTTACACTCTAGTAAGGTGGGTACACGCGGATGGCGCAAGCCATTCACGTAAAACGGTGTATGTGTCGTGGACGCATGCACCGAGTTGTTAATGGCAAACTCTACCATTGGCAAAAACTCACTCCAACTCTTAAAGGAGTGTACGTATCCTCGAAGTATCTCTTCAAGGACACGATTGGCACGGTCCGTCTGACCATCTGACTCGGGATGATCAGATGTAGACATCTTCAAGCGCGTTCCGAGTGATTTGAACACGGAATGCCAGAAATCAGCAGTGAAGCGTGGATCTCTGTCTGATACGAGTTCACGGGGAAACCCATGAAGTCTGACGATGGTGTCGATAAAGACACAAGCACAACCACTTGCCGTGATTGACTCGGGTACAGCCACAAGGTGTACCATTTTGCTGAATCTGTCAACAAATACGAGAATACCCGTATTCCCGCGTGCGTCTTTGGGTAACCCGAAGACGAAATCCATTGAGATGGATTCCCAGCACTCTGCCGGAACCGGTAGAGGCGGTAAAGGTGCGCGCAGTGAAGGACTTGACTTCACTCGTTGACAGACTTCGCGTGCGCGAACATACTTTCGCACAAACTGATACTGGTGGGGCCACTAAAAGTCTCGACTCACCGTGAGATATGTTTTCTCCCGGCCACGTTGTCCCCCCATAGTAGCATCGTGATACTCGAACATGATCCGCAAACGCAGATCAGTATCATCTGGAATGACAACACGTGGTGTGTCACCAGAAACGGCTGTATAATTAAGTAACCCGTTACGAGTAGTGTATCGATCCTGTGCAGATCGATACGCAGGCGACAATCGTTTCAACGATTCTCGAGATGGTTGGGAGAGATGTGTCAACAACTTCACAATCTCACCATCTTGGGTGTATGCCCGCCTCACATCATCATGCAACGTTGTAGATGGGACTGAGGACGTCATAACCGCACCAGTGACTGTCTCACTGTTGGGTTTCGCGACTGTTTCAAAGTCGGGACGACGTGAGAGTGCATCAGCGACGACATTAAGTCGTCCTGGTTTGTAATCGACCGTAAAGTTGTATTCTGCAAAGAATGACAACCACCGCGCCATTCGTTGAGAAAGGTGCGGGCTGTTCACTGCCGTGCGTGATGACGCATGGTCAGTGTAAACAATGAAGGGTCTATCTCCTAATAGATAGACTCTGAACTTCGCGAGTGCGTACTTCATGGCAAGGAGTTCCTTGTCATGCACTGGATAGTTCTGCTCAGCTGTTTGCAGCTGACGCGACTGGTAGCAGACGACGCGTTCAACGCCTTCAAGATCGTACTGCATTAATGCACAGCCGATTGCGAAATCGCTGGCATCACAGACCGCATGAAATGGCCTGTCCTGATCGGCTATTGCTAGGACTGGGGATTGTATCAAGCTCTGCTTGATACCTTCAAAGGAGCGTTGACATTCAGCGTTCCATAACCACCTCTCGTTCTTTTTCAACAAACGATAGAGGTGTACAGTCATCTCGGCGTAATTGCGTGAATACTTGTGCAAATACGACGCTAGACCAAGGAATTTTCGAAGACCTTTGACATCAACCGGCACAGGCCAGTCGGTGATCGCCTTGATCTTTTCGGGATCAGGACGTACACCGTTCTTACCAACGATGCACCCAAGAAGTGGTATTTCGCTTGCTGCAAATATACACTTCTTGAGATTAGCATACAATTGATGCTTTCGCATGATTGTAAGAACTTGTCGGACGTGGTACCTGTGAACCTCAACATCCGAATTTCCATCCATAGCTCGACTATGAATGAAGACGTCATCAAAATAACTCGGCGCGAATTCTCGCACTGGTCTCAACAGGTGTGATACACATCTGTTGAACGTGGCAGGGGCATTAATAAGCCCTTTTGGCATTACTAGCCATTCCCAGAGCATGCCGCTAGGCGTGCTCACTGCGGTATAGGGAATATCCCGTTCTCGCATAAGGATTTGATAGAAGCCATCCATCAAATCCATGGACGAAAAGATGGTACTCTTTGACATACCATCAATGATTACGTCCTTCCTTTGTATCAACGTCTGAGCCGGTACCGTTGTAGCATTCAACTTGTTAAATGCATGCACGATCCGCCACCCTCCTGTCGTTTTTCGCACACAGAAGGTCGAAGAGCTATGTGGGGAAGTAGATTCCCTCACATGGCCCGCAGCTAAACGATCGGCAAAGAACTTGTCGATCGCAAGTACTTGTTCACGAGGCAGTGGCCACTGCTTCATGACACAGTACTTCGAGCCTGGTTTAAGCTCGACCTCGTGTCGAGTACCTTTATCTTTCGGTAACTCGCACGGAACAGTTTCAGGGAATACATCCTTGAATTTAACCAAATCTTCGTAGAGAGGATTTGTCTTGAGCGATTCCCACGATTGGGAGTCATATCGCTCAACTCGTGTCTTTTCATTTAGGACACTCTCATCCATTGATGAACTACTGAGAACTCTCTCGTTCTCAGTAAACATTGTTGCTGACCTTTGTCGGCTACACACTCGTCATCAGCGACGAGTACGCAGATCCACTTGACTTTGCCACTACGCAGATCACGCAAGAACCTTTTATGTTCAAGCGTTGGCAACTGAGTGATCTCCGAAGTAAACTTCGGAGGCGCAATCAGATCAAGTGTATAAGCGCCTACACTTGATCCGTTATTGACTATGACATTCAATGTCTCTGTCATTTCCTGGGGACTTATTCCCTCAGGCCTCAAAGGAATTATTCCTTCGGCTTCCCGGTATTTTCCCGTGGGGTTCGGGGAACTTATTTCCGCCGTATTTGTAATATCGGGACTTATTCCATTTACTTCCTCTAGCTGGGGTTGCGCAACCACAGCGATATCCTCTACGAAAGACTCTCCAGTCGATCTAGGATCATCGTTTCGCTTAACCTGAGCGATCGATTGTTTCTCTTCTAGATGTTCCCCGCTAGAGATACATCTTTTTCCCGGTCCACTCGACTTATTGGAGTGGTGGACCTTCGTCGCAGCCTATGTTTCCTCACAGCTGCCGGAACTTTGCTCCGAAGTGTAACCGTTTGTTACACTAAGGTTTTGTGCAGTCGTACTAACGACCGTACCACAAGTGAGGCCATCGCACTCACTCGTAGTACATCCACACGCTTGTGGACGCTCCAAAACGTTCATCAGATGGCCATCTGATGAACAAGCGTCAGGCATCGTTACTGTCCGATGTTGCCAGTTTACCCGTGGTTCGTACCTTCTGAGCCACGGTATTCCAAGGATGACATCAAATTTGTCATCCAATTCCAATACGATAAAGTCATCGTCATATTGGGTATCTTCTAGCGTGTAGTGGATCTTCACTATACGCTTCATGAAGCTTACGGATGCGCCTGTCGCAAGACGTACCGTCATCCGCGTACGAGATGTGTCACATTCAATAAACTTAAAGTGACCATCTTCTAGCGATTGGCGTCGCACAAAATTGTTGGACGCCCCACAATCGAGTAGAGCTCGAAGAGAAAACTTATTTGTCACTTCGAGTTTCAAGGTAATGAGTGAGATCTCATTACCTAGAGCAGCAACGCACAATGTTTATGTGCTGGGAGCAACCTTCATCAAGAGGCGTACAAATTCTCTTGACGTTGCTGGACCAGTAGGGTGCTCCGCACCTACTGATCCTGTCCGTTTTTTGACGGTCCATCCCGTTGTTGCGTCTTTGCACCAACAGCGGAACCGCTTCCCTGCCCCTTTCTCATGGGTGGACGGTCACTACACCCAGTGTTGCGAGAGACTGGACGAGGGGCACAACACTCGTAAGCGTAGTGTCCTGTCTTTTGACATCTGTTGCATTTCTGCAACTTCTTGTAGCCTGTAGAGCGAGCCTTCTCGCTCTCTACGTAACATAGTTCCATCGGCTCTGGACCTCCGTTGTCATATCGTCTCGGTTGACGATATGATGTCGAGCTGGCGCGAGCCTGTCTCGAGACTAAAGTCTTCCTGCTCCGCAATGGAAATGGCTTGTTCTAGTGAATCTAGTTAAAGCCGGAACGGGTGAGTCTTGACGGGACCATCCGCAAGACCCTGCATGAACACCGAAACCAACGTGTGTTCATCCACCGGATTGGAACTTAAACAACTTGTAAGATGTCGTAAATGTTGCGCGTAAGCGTGCACATCACGCTTACCCTGATTGAGCTTCAAGAGTTCGGTTCGAGCTCTGAACTCAGCTCTAGGCGGTTCAAACGTTTGTATGAGCCGCGACTTGAAGACTTCCAACGACCCTAACGCATATGGGTCGTGCAACTTGAGCCCCAGTGCCCAAGTCTTAACACGTCCTGCCAGATTTGACTGGGCAAATGCAACTTGCATATCCCCGTCGTCGATGCGACGCGCTCTTATGGCGTCATCCAATTCGACGAACCATCTCAAGAGTGATTCCTCTTCGACTCCCCTATACTTGGAGATGTCAATCTTCAAAGTCTCGGGTCGACGCGAATGCATCGACCCACCAGCAGCAGCCTTCTGCTGTCTCAACCGTTCAAACTGTTGAACACCCTGTTCTCTCAACAACTCTGCTTGTTGAAAACCTTGTTAGTGAAGCAAGGCTACTTTCTCGCGTTCAGCGTCAAGCTCATTTTGAATGAACTTGGCGATAGTAACATGTTACGCATCTCTATTGAGAGCCTCTAGCATGACGCTAACAACATGGATGCCCATGGTCGAACCCATCCGTTCAACCGCATCCCATTCGACATCGCTCAAATGGGAGTAGCCGTCACGCGTAGAGTGAAAGCTTTGGTCATCTTCATCATCTGACATATTCATGTTAGATCTGAACGAGTTCCTTGGACGGACTACGAAGTGCTACCAGGTGTAACAGGGCACCCTGAAGCTTGTACTGGTGACTGTACAAGCTACTTGTTCTGACGACAGAATAAGCCGGTGCCTCGGAACTTCACGTACACTCGTACGTGCAGAGGAAGACGGTAAGAAGAAGCGAGTACTTGGTTTAAGTAGAACTGTATTTATAATAGTTAATGTCTGTTAATAAACCACTGTTTGTCCTCATCTAACTATGACTAAATACAAATGTGTACATCAACTATCTGCTCACCACTCATTGCGTGCGTCTGTCGTGGCGCATCTTCGTTGGTTGATATAATGGCCTATATCAACCAATTAGGAACTACTCGTAAGTGCTGCAGAATATTTGTCCTTATGACAATATTCTGAAAAAACAACTCTTTTAGTCATATTCTATTAACAATTCTAATAAATTCTGATGTATCGATTCACCCCGTAACAACGTGTCGGCAAGTTGGAAGTCATCTCTATAAAGAAGATCCGTGAGTGAATTCTTTTGGCCGATCTGTTCGTCTGCTTATTTGCTTGATTGTTTCTGTGTACTGCAGGGATGGAGTGCTGCCAAGGAGAAGAGAAAAAAGCTCCGGATGCTGTCAATCAGAAACCTCGCGTTGAGAACGTCAATGCGTTGCTGGATATCCACATGGACCGAACTTCGAACGGTACATGATCGAGAAAATGAAGGCGCAGTTCGACGGTAGTGGAGTTTGGCGGGGTAGATTGACGAGAATGTGGACTCATGGGCTTTGTTTGCTGTAGAAAATTGTCGCTGAGTTGGCGCGCTCGCAGGCGTTTTACCATGCAAAAGGCATGGAACTCTTTACCGTACCATCTCAATCTATTGCAAAGCTTTACACTGCCAATGTAGGACATCTGAAAGGGGCAGCGCAAGTGAGGCACAAGCGAGCTAGAGGATATAGTAGAAAGTAAGCCGCCACGCAAGCTCTGCATCAACTTGTGCCGTTGCCGAGGAAACCCGACATGCAACAGGTGGGGAGAGGGAGCGAGAGGAGGGAGCAAGAGAGAGAAAGAGGGGGTTCGTGGTGGTGGGGATTGACGAGGTTGTGCTTGTCTGTGTTGTTGTATGGTGGTGAATGGATGGGGATCTTCAATAATAAAGACGTACTTGGACGTGAAGCAGAGCAAGGTGCATGCTGGATAGGCGGGGCAAAGAAAGGGAGTTCAAGGACGTGACGGGCGTCATGGAAGGCGTGCAGTCGTACTTTGACCGAGCCGTAAGCTCCTGCTGTACCACATTGAGTGTCGACGGTACCAGGAGCTACGGCAGAAACAGACGGAGGGTGTGCCGAGTGTAGCCACCCCTGGGTGGGGATCTTGTCCACTTTGAGTCGCACATCGTTTTGACTACACCTACAAAATCCCCTCAAGTCGTCGTCGTCGTCGTTGGCTGGCAATAAACGACTTGATTTGAAAACCATCATTATCTGGCAGATCTGGGCACTCGTACCTCTCGTGCTCTATGCTGCGTTCCAACTGCATCTGTTGCCCAAGCCAGCAGCCCAAGTCGCAGCCCAAGCCAGCAGCTCAAGTCGCAGCCAAAGTAATCTTTTACCTGACGTTGCCACTCACGTACTTTTCGCAACGTCAGAACTACTGGACGCTGGTGGACTCGCATGTCCTGCTGGGAGCAGAGTCCACAGCTTTTGTGCCTCGTGTTGACGCTCCAGTAGCTTGTGGGGTTGGTGCAGTTGTCAATCGATAAGATGAGTACGCATGCCCTACGAACCATTACAGGAGACACCATGTAACGGGGTGAATCGTTACATAACAATTTATAAGAAATTGTTAATAGAATATAACTTTAAGAGTTATCTTCTCAGAATATTGTCATAAGGACAAATATTCTGCAGCACTTACGAGTAGTTCCTAATTGGTTGATATAGGCCATTATATCAACCAACGAAGATGCGCCACGACAGACGCACGCAATGAGTGGTGAGCAGATAGTTGATGTACACATTTGTATTTAGTCATAGTTAGATGAGGACAAACAGTGGTTTATTAACAGACATTAACTATTATAAATACAGTTCTACTTAAACCAAGTACTCGCTTCTTCTTACCGTCTTCCTCTGCACGTACGAGTGTACGTGAAGTTCCGAGGCACCGGCTTATTCTGTCGTCAGAACAAGTAGCTTGTACAGTCACCAGTACAAGCTTCAGGGTGCCCTGTTACACCTGGTAGCACTTCGTAGTCCGTCCAAGGAACTCGTTCAGATCTAACATGAATATGTCAGATGATGAAGATGACCAAAGCTTTCACTCTACGCGTGACGGCTACTCCCATTTGAGCGATGTCGAATGGGATGCGGTTGAACGAATGGGTTCGACCATGGGCATCCATGCTGTTAGCGTCATGCTAGAGGCTCTCAATAGAGATGCCCAACATGCTACTATCGCCAAGTTCATTCAAAATGAACTTGACGCTGAACGCGAGAAAGTAGCCTTGCTTCACTAACAAGGTTTTCAACAAGCAGAGTTGTTGAGAGAACAGGGTGTTCAACAGTTTGAACGGTTGAGACAGCAGAAGGCTGCTGCTGGTGGGTCGATGCACTCGCGTCGACCCGAGACTTTGAAGATTGACATCTCCAAGTATAGGGCGGGGGTCGAAGAAGACTCCCTCTTGAGATGGTTCGTCGAATTGGATGACGCCATAAGGGCGCGTCGCATCGACGACGGGGATATGCAAGTTGCATTTGCCCAGTCAAATCTGGCAGGACGTGTTAAGACTTGGGCACTGGGGCTCAAGTTGCACGACCCATATGCGTTAGGGTCGTTGGAAGTCTTCAAGTCGCGGCTCAGACAAACGTTTGAACCGCCTAGAGCTGAGTTCAGAGCTTTAACCGAACTCTTGAAGCTCAATCAGGGTAAGCGTGATGTGCACGCTTACGCGCAACATTTACGACATCTTACAAGTTGTTTAAGTTCCAATCCGGTGGATGAACACACGTTGGTTTCGGTGTTCATGCAGGGTCTTGCGGATGGTCCCGTCAAGACTCACCCGTTCCGGCTTTAACTAGATTCACTAGAACAAGCCATTTCCATTGCGGAGCAGGAAGACTTTAGTCTGAGACAGGCTCGCGCCAGCTCGACATCATATCGTCAACCGAGACGATATGACAACGGAGGTCCAGAGCCGATGGAACTATGTTACGTAGAGAGCGAGAAGGCTCGCTCTACAGGCTACAAGAAGTTGCAGAAATGCAACAGATGTCAAAAGACAGGACACTACGCTTACGAGTGTTGTGCCCCTCGTCCAGTCTCTCGCAACACTGGGTGTAGTGACCGTCCACCCATGAGAAAGGGGCAGGGAAGCGGTTCCGCTGTTGGTGCAAAGACGCAACAACGGGATGGACCGTAAAAAAACGGACAGGATCAGTAGGTGCGGAGCACCCTACTGGTCCAGCAACGTCAAGAGAATTTGTACGCCTCTTGATGAAGGTTGCTCCCAGCACATAAACATTGTGCGTTGCTGCTCTAGGTAATGAGATCTCACTCATTACCTTGAAACTCGAAGTGACAAATAAGTTTTCTCTTCGAGCTCTACTCGATTGTGGGGCGTCCAACAATTTTGTGCGACGCCAATCGCTAGAAGATGGTCACTTTAAGTTTATTGAATGTGACACATCTCGTACGCGGATGACGGTACGTCTTGCGACAGGCGCATCCGTAAGCTTCATGAAGCGTATAGTGAAGATCCACTACACGCTAGAAGATACCCAATATGACGATGACTTTATCGTATTGGAATTGGATGACAAATTTGATGTCATCCTTGGAATACCGTGGCTCAGAAGGTACGAACCACGGGTAAACTGGCAACATCGGACAGTAACGATGCCTGCCGCTTGTTCATCAGATGGCCATCTGATGAACGTTTTGGAGCGTCCACAAGCGTGTGGATGTACTACGAGTGAGTGCGATGGCCTCACTTGTGGTACGGTCGTTTGTACGACTGCACAAAACCTTAGTGTAACAAACGGTTACACTTCGGAGCAAAGTTCCGGCGGCTGTGAGGAAACATAGGCTGCGACGAAGGTCCACCACTCCAATAAGTCGAGTGGACCGGGAAAAAATGTATCTCTAGCGGGGAACATCCAGAAGAGAAACAATCGATCGCTCAGGTTAAGCGAAACGATGATCCTAGATCGACTGGAGAGTCTTTCGTAGAGGATATCGCTGTGGTTGCGCAACCCCAGCTAGAGGAAGTAAATGGAATAAGTCCCGATATTACAAATACGGCGGAAATAAGTTCCCCGAACCCCACGGGAAAATCCCGGGAAGACGAAGGAATAAGTCCTTCGAAGCCTGAGGGAATTAGTCCCCAGGAAATGACAGAGACATTGAATGTCATAGTCAATAACGGATCAAGTGTAGGCGCTTATACACTTGATCTGATTGCGCCTCCGAAGTTAAATTCGGAGATCACTCAGTTGCCAACGCTCGAACATAAAAGGTTCTTGCGTGATCTGCGTAGTGGCAAAGTCAAGTGGATCTGCGTACTCGTCGCTGACGACGAGTGTGTAACCGACATAAGGTCAGCAACAGTGTTCACTGAGAACGAGAGAGTTCTCAGTAGTTCATCTATGGACGAGGGCGTCCTCGATGAAAAGACACGAGTTGAGCGGTATGACTCCCATCGTGGGAACCGCTCAAGACAAATCCTCTCTACGAAGATTTGGTTGAATTCAAGGCTGAATTCCCTGAAACTGTTCCGTGCGAATTACCGAAGGATAAAGGTACTCGACACGAGGTCGAGCTTGAACCAGGCTCGAAGTACTGTGTCATGAAGCAGTGGCCACTGCCTCGTGAACAAGTACTTGCGATCGACAAGTTCTTTGCCGATCGTTTAGCTGCGGGCCATGTGAGGGAATCTACTTCCCCACATAGCTCTTCGACCTTCTGTGTGCGAAAAACAACAGGAGGGTGGAGGATAGTGCATGCATTTAACAAGTTGAATGCTGCAACGGTCCCGGCTCAGACGTTGATACAAAGGAAGGATGTAATCATTGATGGTATGTCAAAGAGTACCATCTTTTCGTCCATGGATTTGATGGATGGCTTCTATCAAATCCTTATGCGAGAACGGGATATGCCCTATACCGCAGTGAGCACGCCTAGCGGCATGCTCTGGGAATGGCTAGTAATGCCAAAAGGGCTTATTAATGCCCCTGCCACGTTCAACAGATGTGTATCACACTTGTTGAGACCAGTGCGAGAATTCGCGCCGAGTTTTATCGATGACGTCTTCATTCATAGTCGAGCTATGGATGGAAAGTCGGACGTTGAGGTTCACAGGTACCACGTCCGACAAGTTCTTACAATCATGCGAAAGCATCAATTGTATGCTAACCTCAAGAAGTGTATATTTGCAGCAAGCGAAATAACACTTCTTGGGTGCATCGTTGGTAAGAACGGTGCACGTCCTGATCCCGAAAGGATCAAGGCGATCACCGACTGGCCTGTGCCGGTTGATGTCAAAGGTCTTCGAAAATTCCTTGGTCTAGCGTCGTATTTGCACAAGTATTCACGCAATTACGCCGAGATGATTGTACACCTCTATCGTTTGTTGAAAAGAGAACGAGAGGTGGTTATGGAACGCTGAATGTCAACGCTCCTTTTTGAAGGTATCAAGCAGAGCTTGATACAATCCCCAGTCCCTAGCAATAGCCGATCAGGACAGGCCATTTCATGCGGTCTGTGATGCCAGCGATTTCGCAATCGGCTGTGCATTAATGCAGTACGATCTTGAAGGTGTTGAACGCGTCGTCTGCTACCAGTCGCGTCAGCTGCAACCAGCTGAGCCGGAACTATCCAGTGCATGACAAGGAACTCCTTGCCATGAAGTACGCACTCACGAAGTTCAGAGTCTATCTATTAGGAGATAGACCCTTCATTGTTTACACTGACCATGCGTCATCACGCACGGCAGTGAACAGCCCGCACCTTTCTCAACGAATGGCGCGGTGGTTGTCATTCTTTGCAGAATACAACTTTACGGTCGAGTACAAACCAGGACGACTTAATGTCGTCGCTGATGCACTCTCACGTCGTCCCGACTTTGAAACAGTCGCGAAACCCAACAGTGAGACAGTCACTGGTGCGGTTATGACGTCCTCAGTCCCATCTACAACGTTGCATGATGATGTGAGGCGGGCATACACCCGGAGATGGTGAGATTGTGAAGTTGTTTTTCACATCTCTCGCAGCCATCCCGAGAATCGTTGAAACGATTGTCGCCTGCGTATCGATCTGCACGAAGGATCGGTACGCTACTCGTAACGGTTTACTGCTATTATACAGCCGTTTCTGGTGACACACCACGTGTTGTCATTCCAGATGATACTGATCTGCGTTTGCGGATCATGTTCAAGTGTCGCGATGCTACTATGGGGGACAACGTGGCCGGGAGAAAGCATATCTCACGGTGAGTCGAGACTTCAGTGGCCCCGCCAGTATCAGGTTGTGCGAAAGTATGTTCGCGCACGCGAAGTCTGTCGGCGAGTGAAGTCAGAGTTCTTCACTGCGCGCACCTTTACCGCCTCTAACGGTTCCGGCAGAGTGCTGGGAATCCATCTCAATGGATTTCGTCTTCGGGTTTCGCAAAGGCGCACGCGGGAATACGGGTATTCTCGTATTTGTTGACAGATTCAGCAAAATGGTACACCCTTGTGGCTGTACCCGAGTCAATCACGGCAAGTGGTTGTGCTTGTGTCTTTATCGACACCATCGTCAGGCTTCATGGGTTTCCCCGTGAACTCGTATCGGACAGAGATCCACGCTTCACTGCTGATTTCTGGCATTCCGTGTTCAAATCACTCGGAACGCGTTTGAAGATGTCAACATCTGATCATCCCGAGTCAGATGGTCAGACGGACCGTGCCAATCGTGTCCTTGAAGAGATACTTCGAGGATACGTACACTCCTTTAAGAGTTGGAGTGAGTTTTTGCCAATGGTAGAGTTTGCCATTAACAACTCGGTGCATGCGTCCACGACACATACACCGTTTTACGTGAATGGCTTTGCGCCATCCGCGTGTACCCACCTTACTAGAGTGTAACTCTGGTTTGAGAGGGGAGGACTCGCGCGAGCAAAAACCGATTTGGTTCACGCTCATCACGCTCTGACGAAGAGGTCATTGCGTTTGATGCCGATATCGATAACATCGATATCGGAGAAGATGATGCCATTGAGAGTGCGGAAGCCCTCACTGAAGAAAAGGTTGATGTTGCTGCAGTGCACTCACAGCGCACTGAAGCTAACGAGTCATCGAATGAGTTCATACTGGCAATTCGTGAAACGGTACTACGTTTTTGTGCAATACTCCATCGCCGGAGCGGTGGATAATGCAAAAGCAGAAACCCTGACAAGAATGGAAGAAAAAGCACTATTTTGTTTAGTAAAGGTGGCTTGATCCTACTGTCTACGCTTAATCTGCGAAAGCATGTAGTGACTAACTTGGGCAGCAGTAAGCTACTACCCAAGACATCGGCCCACTTCGCGTTTGCACCGCCTAGGCAATGCATGCACGATCGAGTTGCCCACGTAAGATGCGAACGCATCCCACGTTTCCGTTGGTCTGCTGAAGCCGTACCATCGGTACGCTGCTTCTTCCGATGAAGAACGCCCGCTGCGCTCAAGCATCTTGCAGAGAGCCCTATGCTTCCCGATGATGGGCATCGACGAAGGTCTGAAGAGCGTTTATCTCATCCCGAGACCGATCAGCAATCCCACGACTACCCTTAGCTCGTCACGAAGAAATGTCCAACTCTCTCGTTCTCAAGCTGAGCAAAGCTACTCAACTCGAGGCTTCCGGAGAGAATGTCGCTAGATTGGAGACGCTTGTCCCCGCCCATGTTCGAGACCGCCGCTTAACGCTGCTTTACGTGATCAAGAAAGCTACTCAAAGACACTCGCCTTCCTTAGGATTAGTTTGGAGACCGTTTTCCTCCTCCTGCTCCTCCAAAAGATAAATCTTCGCGGTGACCGGCGCTATCTTGTTGAGCAGCTGTTGAACCCTGCAATGGATGAGTGGACGTCAGACGAATACCACGATCGGTGGCACGGCTCATCCCCGTCTGGGAGGCTGCCCGGAGCCCCGCTCCCAACTGATGACTTTTGTACTGGGTCTGCAGTTAGGCGCAGTACGACGCGGCACATCCTGTGCTGCTGAACTACCGCCGGAGTATATCTTCCCGGCTGCGATGGGCAGGGGATTTGGGTGTCGGCCTCGTACGTCTCACTGAAGACCATTACGCACCACCACCCAGCTAAAAGGTGGAAAACTCACCCAAAGTGCTCGCGCAGAGACCATTCACGCAACATGAAGCTTGCAGATGTCTCCCCAAGAGAGAGCAGGGTAATCCTTTCTCCCTTGACGGAGCGATGCAGCTGCTGCATGCACCTGTCAGGCTACACATTTCAAACTTATGCGAGCTTTGATAAGACTGTCATTAAGCGTCACGACCTGCATCCTCAAGGTAATGGATGTAGGCGTTCCATGATAAAATTTGTGAGGGGCCATCACTCTTGTAATTCCCACTGTGCATGCCCAACCCTCGTTTGTACTCGATTTAAGTGTTGTATGAAGGACTCATTCTCAGACAGTGAAAATATCTCTGCAGGAGGTCAAAGTGGTGGCATCTGTATGACGACTGGAAGAGGGATGGATGTGATCCATGGCTGGTAATTTTTCAATCTACGGCAGACAGAGGGATGACATCGAATTTATTATCCAAATCTAATACGATAAAGTCAACGTCGTACTTAACTCCCACCACGTTTGTTCACTGTCAAGGATGTGCCTGTAGCAAGGCACACCTTCATACCCGTTAGAGGAAGATCTCGCTCAGCATGGATTGGGCTACTATCCTCAAGCGACTGGTGTCTAATAAAACTGTTGGACTCCCCACAGTCAACTAGGGCGCGAAGTGACATTCTAATTTTCACCTCGATCTTCATTGTGATGAGGAGACACCTCATCACTAGGAGCCGTGCACACACAGTCACTGTGTGTTGGGAGCAATCTTCGTCAAGAGTCCTGCAAATTCTCTGGACATTGCTGGATCAGCAGGGTGCTCCGCCCCTACTGACCCTGACCGTATTTTGGTGGTCCGACTTGCTGTTGCGGCTTAGCGACATGGTCGGAACCACGCCTTGGACCTGTCATCGTCCAACGGTGGTCATCACGTCCTGTCTTCGGACGTGATGCGGTGCTTGGAGCACTACACTCAGGAGAGTAGTGTTCGATCTTCTGACACCGATGGCATCTTGCCGTTCGCTTGTGACTCAGAGAGCGAGAGTTCTCACTCTTGATATAAAAGAGGTCCATATGTTTAGGACTCCTGTTTCTTGTCCTCTCCTTGGACGATAGTTTGACGAGTTAGCCTGAGACTGTCTCAGGCAAAATTCTTCTTGTTCCGCACACGCTATCGCCTTTTTCAGTGTGTGGAAGTTCTCTTGGAGCATGCAGATTTTCACCGGTCAATCTTTAAGGCCGTAGATTGGATGCGTTGATGAGCGTGTGATCATTAACAGGGTTTTCCGTGACGCTACTTGCAAGGTAGCGCAGGTGCTGTGCGTAAGCGTGCACATCACGCTTATCTTGTTTGAAACTTAGGAGTGCAGATCGTGCTCTGAAATCGGCTCCTTGATGGCTCACACGTTTCTTTGAGCCAAGACTTCAAGACCATCGACGATTCAAACGCGTTTGGGTTGTGAAGCTTGAGCCCTGAAGCCCAAGTCTTTGCTCGTCCTGTCAAATTTGACAGGGAAAACGAAACTTTCATCTTGTCACCCTGGGTATGATGGGCCCTGATGGCGTCGTCTTACTCGACGAACCATTTAAGTGGAATCTTCATCGTTTTATGTGTACCTTGAGATGTCTGTATTCAAGTTTTTGGGTCAACGCACATGCGTCGGCCCGCCCAGCGACTGATGAGAGCCTTGCTGTTGTAGCAAGGCTATCTTCTGTCTTTGGACGGCAAGAAATGCGCGCATAAACTCATTGATAGCAGCATGTTGCTGTTATCTACTTAGAGACTCCAACATGCCACTGATAGCGGGTTCGCCCATGAGCACACTCATGCGGCCGACTACCTCCCCATTCTGAGTCACTTAGATGGGAGTAGCCTTCACGTGTGACGTGAAAGCTGTCTTCTTCTACGTCGAGCGTGTTCATGTTAGACGGACACTTAAGAGTCGTTGGATGGACTACGAAGTGCTACCAGGTGTAACGGGACACCCTTTGTTTGGGGTGGAGCGAAACTTCACGTACACTAGTAAGTACAGAGAAGGCTAATCTACGCAAACAGCTTGTTCGAGTAAACGTACCATAAGAACTGTTTCCAATGTAGTTAAGCTATTAATATAACTTCAGTAGTTATCTGGCTCCATGAATCTACATTGTCGTTTGAAGACAACCTGCTCACCACTCATTTCGCGCGTTTAGCAGCGACTGTTGGTAACCTTGTTTGTTATGTCTCCATGAACTATTCTCCGGCCAGCACAATCTTGTATGTTAGAATATAATATTATTTTGGTATTACCCATTTCGGGTAATATTAGCAGGATGATGTCAAGCTGGACAATCCATCTATCGACACAGTTCGGTGTTAAGTTCACGTAACAAGCTATACCGTTATATGCCCGTATACTTTGGCGAGCGTAAAGGTTGTGCGCCTTCATCAGTGCAACTTTCCAACGTGGCTACTGTAGTTTCCATTGGTTAAAGTGTGCGTTTGCTTTGACGACAAGCATGGTGGGGGGTATGCCTCCATTAGTGCAACATACGGACAGGTATGGAGTGATCCCTGTTGAATTGAATTTGTACACCTACGTGGCAAGCATGAAAAAGGTACGCCTTCATCACTGCACCTCCCATTGTGGCTGTTGTGCGACTAGTCGAATAGATTGTGTCCGCCATGGAGGCAAGCATACTACAGGACACACTTCTAAGAATGTAATCTACCCTTAAGATAATTGTCCGACCCGTAACTAGAGTTCGTCTGCGAATGCCCTAAGCATGGTGCGATACAGACCTTTACAAGTGCTACTTAACCTTGTGACAGCTATGCTACATGTCAAACAGTTTGCTCTCTCCGTGGCGCCAAGCGTAGTGCGGGATACGCCTTCATTGGTGCAACCGCCAAACATGGCAGCTGTAGTCTTTATGGATAGAGCGTGCGTCTGCCAATACAACAAGCGTGTTGCGGGGGTACGTCTCCATCAGTGCAACATCCCGACAGGGCTGTAGTTATCCCAGTCGATCGAATGTCTCCGCCGATATGGCAAGCGTTAACGTGGGCGAATACCCGATATGAGTGTGCGTCTGCTTAGACGACAAGCGTGGTGCGGGTTACGCCTCCACCAGTGCAACATCTCGACAGGGCTGTAGAAATCCCCCTTTATCCATAGTGTGTCCGCCGAGATGGCAAGCGTCAAGAAGGGACGCCTTCTTCGTTGAAACATCATCGTTGCTGCTGTAGTCTCCGTTGGATAGACAGTGCGTCTGCTTCGACGACAAGTGAGGAGCGATGTACGCCTCCACCAGTGCAACATTCCGACAGAGCTGTGGCAATCCTTGTTGACCAGAACGTGTCCGCCGAGATGGCAAGCGTGAAGGAGGGACGCCTTCATCGGTGGAACATCATCATCGTGGCTGCTGAAGTCCCCGTTGATTTGAGTGTGCGTCTACTTAGACGACATGCGTGGTGCAGGACACGCCTCTATCAGTGCAACACGATAACGTTGCTGCTGTAGTCTACGTTGGATGGAGTTTGCGTCGACTCAGACGAAAGCGTGGTGCGGGGTACGCCTCCACCAGTGCAACATTCCGACAGAGCTGTGGCAATCCCCGTTGACCAGAATGTGTCCGCCGAGATGGCAAACGTGAAGGAGGGACGCCTTCATCGGTGCAACATCCTATCGTGGCTGCTATGCGACTCTTCAATATAGTGCGTCCCTTGAAGCCTCAAGCGTGGTACGTGATACACCCCCATCAGTGCAACATCCTGACATGGATGTTGTGCGACCCGTCCATTCGATATGTTATTCAAGGCTTTAATTGTAAAGAGGGTACGCCTTTGTCGAAACAACCATGAAACGTGGCTGCTATAATCTTCGTTGATTGTGTAGCCTTCGCCTAACCGGCAAAATGTGACGCGGGTACGTAATAATCAGTACAACATCCATCCCATCTCGGCTGTTGTGATCAGTGTGGATCAGACTGTGTGTCCGCCTGAAGAACAAACGTGGTGCAGGGAACCCCTCCAGTAGTAGCCAGCAATTATCGCTATTCTACTGTTCGCGCGATTGAGGGCCGCCTGGTCGACCCTTTCTTACTCCTTTGTCCACCATTTGTCCACAATTCACGTCAAATCACGCTAACAAACGGGCAAAGTGTTGATCAGCTGGAGCGGAGGGAGAAATTTGAGCAAATTAAATATTAAAAATTAATTATGATACGAATCGCTGATCAGCGCCTGATTTATAGTGAAAGCATACCAACTGGAAGCTATAGATGGAGTACAACGCCGTTATTCACATTTGTGACAAGAGGCAGACACGCATAAAATTACCACTCCTATGTAGGGAATGTGAATCAAAGCATGAATCCACGATAACCTGATGGTCAGAGGGGAAGTACCGCGTATAATTACGTATTTGTGAAAAGATAGAGGCTCCAAAAGTGCCACACAAAATCTCTAAGAGATTGTAATTCAGGAAGTCCAAGTAAAAAGATAGTATCATGTGGTAAAATGAAAGTACCGAGTAGATAATAGTACGTGTGACAACAGACAGAGACGTCAAAAGTGATTTACAGTAAAAAGGAAGCGGACGATTGATACATACGAATAAAGATGTCATGACGGTAAGAAAGGAAGTACCGCTCGTACGTGAAGATTTGTGTAAAGAGGCAGAGACGTCAAAGAAGTGCCATTTCTAAACATTGGATATCTATACATTGAGTCTAAATCTTTGGA